AAAAAAAATCAAAATTACATCACCCTTTGAGAAACTACTTTTTTGGTCTACTTCAGACCACTTAAAATAAGTACATCTAGTGATACAAAATTAACTCTTTTCATTCCAAATTTTACATCAATTAATTCAGACAGTGTTCTCTAAAACGTTCAAAACGTGGTTTGTGTTTCTGGTCATTCTGAGTAAAGATTTACTGTTTGCATTTTCAAATCATGCAACTCTTCTTCTTGAAATCTTACAGTACAAAAAAACCTTTCTAGATATTCCATTTTTTCCCTACTGATCCCATTACCCAACAGATTTAGTGTGTACAGCCTACAGGACGGAGGCTGTAGTGCTTTACAAAGATTGGCAACACTGGTATCGGTGATCTGATTGCCCCACAGATCTAGTGTGGTTAGCCCATAGTGAGCGTGCTGTAGCGCATTACATAGACTGACTACACCGGCATCGGTGATCTTATTACCCCCAAGAAAAAGTGTGGTCAGTTTACAGCTTGGATGCTTTTGTACTTCACAGAGACTAGAAAACCCGGCATCAGTGATTTCATTGGCACAAAGACTGAGTGTGGTTAGCCTACAGCTTGGATCCTTCAAAGCTTTACATAGGCTGGTAACATTGGTATCAGCGATCTGATTATAACCCAGATTGAGAGTTGTTAATTTATATGAAACTAATCTACAAACGACGTCAATACATTCATTTGCGAGGTCACAATATGTGATTCCTAGTTTGGAGACACGAGAGTGTTCCTTTCCTAATGACTCACAAATTCGTTTTATTCCAGGCAATGACCGCGGCGACCTGGTTAGTTTCAACTTCTTTATTGACTCGAACTTTTCAGAACTTTCGTGTCCAGCTTCTTCTCCATGAACATCACTTACCATGTCCAAGACGAATGATGCTGCAAAGCAGTCTACATTTGATACATTTTCAAGAGACCAGTTGTTGTCTGGGTCGGAGCATACTTGAGGATGCTTTCTAATGTACTTCTTGCCAAATTCCTTGTCGTTGTATTCACTCAAGCATTTTGCTGCGAGAAGGTGATTTTTAGAGGATAAGACCTGAACATTTGCCATTAATTTTTCCATTAGTTCCTCGTTTTTCTTTTCGAACAAAATGCCAGCCATGAATTGGAAAACCATTTCAGAAAAACTTAAGTCTGGAATATGATTTTCGTTTACAAAGCAACGAGCAGCCAAGTATTCTTGAACGGTTAACTGGGTAAAGCTAAAGAGTTTAGTTGTTGTAGTCGAACTGGTCCTGAAAGGCTGACCACAATGAAGAAGACCACTACCCTTCAGATTTTCGACTTCTTCTGAATCGAAATGATCGAGTTTCATTTCGCTTTCATCAAAAGTTGCCTTTTTTTCCTTAAGCAGGTCAGCCGCTAATTTTGATAGTTTCTCTAGTGTCTTTTCGATGACGTTACGGGGCCCCACATCCTTAGTAATTGCCTTCTTTCTAAATTCTGACCCGACACTGTGCTTAAGTCCAAAGATCTCTAAAATTTTAGTGTAAATCTCAGTCATTGAGACAGGAAGGTGACCGTCGAGTTTTAAGCCTGGTTCCCTTTCTTCAAGGATATAATCCATTTCAAAGCACAACAGAAAACAGAGCATGGGAACGTGGGCAAAACTAACAAGATTCTCATTGTTCATGACATGCTTAAGTACAATGTTCTTCTTTCGCTCGCTTTTCTTGAAATACTTTTCAATGAACTCTTTGACTTGTTCTGGAGAAAATCCCGCGATTTCCACGTACCTTTTAAACTGGAATAGTCCCAACTTGTCGGATTCATCGGGCCGCGAGGTTATCAGGATGATAGCACCTTTCAAGATCTTTTCCTTGAGAAGTTTCGAACACAGTGCAGCCACTGGCATTTTTTCACTAGAGTCATTTGGATGCTTTTCTTCTGAGTTTCCAGGGATTTCATCCTGTTGTAAATACTCATCGTAGCCATCAAGGATAATCATAACTTCTTCAGGATACTTCAAAATGTACTCAATTATATCGTCATTAATGATACAGTTATCACTTAACACCGTAGAACAGTTTAAGACTTCTCTTAAAGTTTTGCTTTCATTTTCAAGCAAATTCAATTGACGGAAAGTAAGCAGATACACAAATTTTAAATTAGGGATTTTTTTGGGGGAGGTTTCTCTCGATTGAAGCAATCTGTTTTTCGCCCAATCGCGAATCAACTTTTGGCAAAACAGAGATTTTCCAATCCCTGCTTTTCCAACGACAACAATGGAATTGGGATTCTCCTCATCATCGCTTAAGCCAAGGAATATTTCGTCGTAGTGCTTAACTGGAATACCGCTGATCTTACCACTCGCCATGTGGGGTTCTCTACCATGTTGTATAAGAAGATTGGTGAATATATCCTCTGTCTTTGCGCTAACAATCGTGAAAGAGGAACGCAGTTTGGGTTGAAACTCTGTTTGGTCTGCTATGGAACTTTTCAATGCTGTTGTGTAGGAAGTAACGGCTAAAATAAAAAAAGGACATAATTAAATAGTAAAGGTGATCTGACTGCCTGCTTCTACTGTTGTATAGTTGTAACGTACTGCAGTAAAAAGGAAATTTGGCCTAAAATACAGAGGGGTTAATGAGCAGCTCTTGTTGATGCCAAACTTAACTTTTGACAAAAGGACTTGGTTAGAGTAAAGTTTGTACACTGTCAATTGACAGTCCGGGGACATGGCAGGAAAGTAATAGAATAGGTACGTGTATTATGCGTGCCAAAAAATTATTTCAATACAAAACTTCGCCACTTCGTACTCCGCGTACCTGTTGCTATGGATATACCTACTCCTATCGAGGTCAGAGCCCCGGCCGCGCCAACTCTTTTTTTGTTTTTGTTTCTTCATTTTCTTTTTTTCCTTTTTTTTCGTTTTAATTGAAATTACTCTTCAAAGGATATGTTAGATATGTTCAGAGTAAAAGTTTGACAACGTAGCTCTTACGTTCAAATCGATAATGCAGAGGTGAGGCTCTGAAAAAAAAAATTAATTTAACCCCCCCCTTTGAGAAACTACTTTTTTGGTCTACTTCAGACCACTTAAAATAAGTACATCTAGTGATACAAAATTAACTCTTTTCATTCCAAATTTTACATCAATTAATTCAGACAGTGTTCTCTAAAACGTTCAAAACGTGGTTTGTGTTTCTGGTCATTCTGAGTAAAGATTTACCGTTTGCATTTTCAAATCATGCAACTCTTCTTCTTGAAATCTTACAGTACAAAAAAACCTTTCTAGATATTCCATTTTTTCCCTACTGATCCCATTACCCAACAGATTTAGTGTGTACAGCCTACAGGACGGAGGCTGTAGTGCTTCACAAAGATTGGCAACACTGGTATCGGTGATCTGATTGCCCCACAGATCTAGTGTGGTTAGCCCATAGTGAGCGTGCTGTAGCGCATTACATAGACTGACTACACCGGCATCGGTGATCTTATTACCCCCAAGAAAAAGTGTGGTCAGTTTACAGCTTGGATGCTTTTGTACTTCACAGAGACTAGAAAACCCGGCATCAGTGATTTCATTGGCACAAAGACTGAGTGTGGTTAGCCTACAGCTTGGATCCCTCAAAGCTTCACATAGGCTGGCAACATTGGTATCAGCGATCTGATTATAACCCAGATTGAGAGTTGTTAATTTACATGAAACTAATCTACAAACGACGTCAATACATTCATTTGTCAGGTCACAATATGTGATTCCCAGTTTGGAAACACGAGAGTGTTCCTTTCCTAATGACTCACAAATTCGTTTTATTCCAGGTATTGACAGCGGCGACCTGGTTATTTTCAACTTCTTTATTGACTCGAACTTTTCAGAAGTTTCGTGTCCAGCTTCTTCTCCATGAACATCACTTGCGATGTCCAAGACGAATGATACTGCAAAGCAGTCTAAATTTGATACATTTTCAAGAGACCAGTTGTTGTCTGAGTCGGAGCATACTCGAGGATGCTTTCTAATGTACTTTTTGGCAAATTCCTTGTCGCTGCATTCACTCAGACATTTTGCTGCGAGAAGGCGATTTTTAGAGGATGAGGCCTGAACTTTTTCCATTAAATTTTCCATTAGTTTCTCGTTTTTCTTTTCGGACAAAATGCCAGCCATGAATTGGAAAACCATTTCAGAAAAACTGCTGTCTGGAATATTATTTTCGTTTACAAAGCAACGAGCAGCCAAGTATTCTTGAACGGTTAAATGGGTAAAGCTAAAAAGTTTAGTTGTCGTAGTCGAACTGGTCCTGAAAGGCTGACTACAATGAAGAAGACCACTACCCTTCAGTTTTTCGACTACTCCTGAATCGAAATGATCGCGTTTCATTTCGCTTTCATAAAAAGTTGCCTTTTTTTCCCGAAGCAGGTCAGCCGCTAATCTTGATAGTTTCTCCAGTGTCTTACCGGTGATGTTACGGGGCTCCACATCGTTAGTGATTACCTTCTTTCTAAATTCTGACTCGACACTATGCTTAAGTTCAAAGATCTCTAAACATTTAGTGTAAATCTCAGTCATTGAGACAGGAAGGTGACCGACGAGTTTTAAGCCTGGTTTCAATTCTTCAAGGATATAATCAATATCAAAGCACAACAGAGAACAGAGCATGGGAACGTGGGCAAAACTAACAAGATTCTCATTGTTCATGACATGCTCAAGTACAATGTTCTTCTTTCGCTCGCTTTTCTTGAAATACTTTTCAATGAACTCTTTGACTTGTTCTGGAGAAAATCCCTCAATTTCCACGTACCTTTCAAACTTGAATACTCCCAACTTTTCGGCTTCATCGGGCCGCGAGGTTATCAGGATGATAGCACCTTTCAAGATCTTTTTCTGGATAAGCTTCGAACACAGTGCAGCCACTGGCATTTTTTCTCTAGAGTCATTTGGATGCCCTTCTTCTGAGTTTCCTGGGATTTTATCCTTTTGTGAATACTCATCGTAGCCATCAAGGATAATCATAACTTCTTTAGGATACTTCAAAATGTACTCAATTATATCGTCATTAATGATACAGTTATCACTTAACACCGTAGAACAGTTTAAGACTTCTCTTAAAGTTTTCCTTTCATCTTTAAGCAAACTCAATTGACGGAAAGTAAGCAAATACCCAAATTTTAAATTGGGGATTCTTTTGGGGGAGTTTTCTCTCGATTGAAACAATCTGTTTTTCGCCCAATCGCGAATCAACTTTTGGCAAAACAGAGATTTTCCAATCCCTGCTTTTCCAACGACAAGAATGGAATTGGGATTCTCCACATCATCGCTTAAGCCAAGGAATATTTCGTCGCAGTGCTTAACTGGAATACGGATGAATTCTCCGCCCATCTCACTACTCGCGTTGTAGGTCTTTCTACCTTGTCGTATGAGAAGATTGGTGAATATATCCTCTGTTTTTGCGCCAAAAATCGTGAAAGAGGAAAGCAGTTTGGGTTGAAACTCTGTTTGGTCTGCTATGGAACTTTTCAATGCTGTTGTATAGGAAGTAACGGCTAAAATAAAAAAAAGGACATAATTAAATAATAAAGGTGATCTATGACTGCATGCGCCTACTGTTGTATAGTTGTAAAGTACAGTAGTAAAAAGGCAATTTGGCCTAAAATACAGAGGAGTTAATGAGCAGCTCTTGTTGATGCCAAACTTAACTTTTGACAAAAGGACTTGGTTAGAGTAAAGTTTGTACACTGTCAATTGACAGGTCGGGGACAGGGCAGGATAGTAATAGAATAGGTACGTGTATTATGTGTGCCAAAAAATTATTTCAATACAAAACTTCGCCACTTCGTACTCCGCGTACCTGTTGCTATGGATATACCTACTCCTATCGAGGTCAGAGCCCCGGCCGCGCCAACTCTTTTTTTGTTTTTGTTTCTTCATTTTCTTTTTTTCCTTTTTTTTCGTTTTAATTGAAATTACTCTTCAAAGGATATGTTAGATATGTTCAGAGTAAAAGTTTGACAACGTAGCTCTTACGTTCAAATCGATAATGCAGAGGTGAGGCTCTGAAAAAAAAAATTAATTTAACCCCCCCCCCAAAAAAAAAAAAACAAAACAAAAATGAATCCGTAGAAACCCGATCAGATTCGTTCAACGATGACCAGTGTCGGAAATGAACCAGGACGAGTCACATGGGTAGCCGGTCAAGTCGCCTGAGAGTCATCTCGCCCATGCAATTCACGTCACCCGGAACTTGAGTCATGTCGCCCGTAAATTTCAGTCATGTCGCGCGAAAAAAAAAGTCAAGTCGCCCAAAGAAAGAAATACTTAAAAGATCAGACTTAAAGACTTTAAATAGGCAATAAAGTTGAGAAATCTATATGACCAAGGCCGCGCTCTTTGTTTCCGACAACACCATAAAGATTCTAAAAGCGTTGCTATTTTAAACAACAAAGGAGAGCGTTGTTCCTTTCTAACAAAAAAATGAAGCGTTGTTCCTTTAGTATGTACTCGTTTCGTACTCACGGACGTTTCGTAGGCTTGAGAAACTTTATCTTGGTTTCTAACAACACTATGAAGGCTTTGACTACACAGAAATCGATCATAGGATCAAAATTGAAGAAATCGAATAACTTAGGGCTGTACCCACTAGGGCTTTACCTCACATCCTTCATAAACGGAAAAATTTTTGAGCGAATACGTGGTAGAGAAAACAGAGTTAACGCAAATTAAAATGAGGCTATATTGAAATATGGATTATGCCGACGACATTGCTTTACTATCTCACTCAGGAGCCCAAATGCAGATCAAAACCAGCATTCTGGAAGAAAGGTCAAGAAAAAGTGGCCTTGTTATCAACACCGCAAAGACCAAAGTCATGAAGATTAACTCAGGTTCAAGGAGGAAGATCAGAGTGAATGACGCCGATATCGAAGAGGTGGAATCGTTTACATACCTTGGGAGCGTAGTAGACACATGTGGGGGAACTGACGCAGACGTTGCAAACAGGATTAATAAAGCAAGAGGAGCCTTCCACTCCCTTAAGAAGATCTGGAGCTCTGGCAGCATATCTACATCAACTAAGCTGAAAATCTTCAACTCTAATGTAAAAGCTGTGCTTTTATACGGGGCAGAGACGTGGAGGATGACAGTCAAAACGGCAAGAAAGTTACAATCATATGTCAATCATTGTTTGCGTCGAATCCTGAAGATACATTGGACAGACAAGATCACAAACGAGGAGCTCTGGGAGTGGACAGGTCAAATACCGATGGTCAAGCAAGTGAGGAAGAGAAAATGGATGTGGGTAGGCCACACGCTGAGAAGACCTTCAAACAGCATTACGAGGCAAGCCCTGCGTTGGAATCCACAGGGAAAACGAAAGAGGGG